GGTAACACCATGCAAGAATAAGCTCAATATTCTTACAAAAACAGCTTTCCATCAGGAACATAGATTACCTAAAAGAAATGATACAGCAGCATGGAATCAGACAGAATTGTTAACACTAAATTACATTTGATACTGGTCAATATAACTGTAGTGACAGGGACTCCTATTACTGGAGGGAAAAATTAGTCTTTAATTCTCTCTGTTCTTATTCTTCATTCTCCAAGTACAAGTTTGGTTATGTTTGTAACCTTTATGTGGGACACTGATTATTGAGCTAGGTTGTAACAACTCAGTCATTTGTGTATGAGTTGTTCCTACTTTCATCGATTCTCCCGCCTGGAGATTTTGGGTTAGACTGTCAAGGGCCCCTGGAGAATGTAGGTGCACCTAAGGATTGTGCTCTACTCTTAATTTGCTTTTGCTAATCTTATGTGGGTTAGGATGCTTATCAATTAACAGAGTTTTGTGTTAAATAAGGGTGAGAAGCTTCCAAGAAGCAACTAATCTTCGTAGAAGTGCATGAATTTTAGTAATAGGCCTTTCAACTAATTTTTGATCATTAACCGACCTTCTAAACTTATGTTTGGTTTTATTGCTGTGCTCAGACCATGCCTAACAAAGGCCTGTATTGATACATGTGGTACTGTAATGAGTAATTAATTCTCAGAGTTTGGCTTATTTTCAGTTGGCAGACTTCTTATTCCTCTAGTATTTATTGCATTTCCCTTCTGCTGCCTGAAATTTTGTAGTCCCAGTGCCCAGATTGGTGCCAAATAACTCAGGTTAATTTGTTCACATATATATATATATATATTTACAATTATAAGGAAAAAAAACAGTTACTGTATATCTACTATGTACTCACAAGTAAACTGATTTTTTATTCAGACACAAATGTAAAAATAAGAAAAATATTACTATCTTATAGACTATAAAAACAAAGCTCAGAGAAGTTATAGAAGTTACCCATGTTTATACATCCACCAAAAACTAACAATGGCTGTGCAAATAGGAGAGGTTTGACAAATATTTTTTAAATGAATGTTGCAGAATGCAGTTTGGCTTCCAAACACTACATATTTTCACAACATGTAAAAGATGAGCAGGGACAGCAAATTTAGTTGAACTCAGCTTTGGAATTATCTTTGGTTTTTACCTGATTATGATAACCTTTCTATCACAAAGGCAGTATCAGAATGGATCCACTAAATAGTAAAATCTTAAAAAGATTCAAAATTAGTCTCAGAGTTACAGCCCACAATATCCCACAGGAAGAAAATGAGATAATCTAGGATATGCACCTATAAAGCTGGTTAATATATGTGAATAAATAATCATGGTTATAAGGTGATTTTTATAACTGTAGAGCCTGTTAAGTTCAGAAATGTCAGTTTTCCTATGCTACAGACTGCTGAGTAAGATTGAATGGCTCCTACTAGGATCACCTGGTACTTAGAAAGCTTTATTTATATAGAAATGTTTTGAAAGAAGAAAATCACAACTTCTTTGCTTTGTTATTGATGGTGTCTTTTATGAAGTGCTTGCTCATAAGCTGTCCTTGTTTCTCCTGGCAGCTGTATCTCAGGAATACAGTGCTGATAAAGCTTAGACATGAAGTGGCTTCTCTAGTTCACCCCATGAACGGTGCTAACTCCTTGTCAGCCCCAGATGGTTTATTTATAAGGCATAGAAGTCCACCAAAGCTAAACTAACTAAAGTAAGGAGAAATGCCCACAGAACTTATTTAAAAGAAATTTTGCTGAGGGAACCACATGTCCAAGAGTGTGCACATGTGCTTGCAACAGTGTGTGTGTGTGTGTGTGTGTGTGTATGTGTGTGTGTGTGTACACATCAAGCCCCGGGTTTCCTTGACCATGGTTCTTCATATGTGTTGGCTTCAGGCTTATCACTCTGTAAACAGCCTTGTCTTCTTAATTGTCTGCATATGCATGTCTCATGACAGCTGCATGTAGACCCAAAATCTACACGTAACATTCCTTTTAGGTCCCTACAGTTTAAATGATTCCATCAATGTACCCCAATTCTAAATTTCAGCGAGAGAGGACCTGATTGGCTCAACTAGAGTCAGGTGTCTACTCCAACTAATCTTTTGTGAGCTGGAAGATGGGCTCCTGCAACCAGAATGTAGGAATGCATCACCAGAATGTAGATGCTATCCATATTGAGAGCGTTGGGCCAAAGTGTTGATGGGTAAAGTTAACATGGACATTACTGTAGTGTGCCAGTTGTAATGAATTCTAACATATTTAGACAAACAGAAATAGCATTAGAAGCATTTCTACCATAATCTGTCTGATCTTGATTCTTCACTGTTTTTGAGCCACAAAATGAAGGAAGCAAAGCATCTTCTTTGGGCACTAAGAAATTCTAAAATAAAAACTCCATAATTCTATGTCAAGCAAAATAATGTTTATATGTTACATAATGGAAGATTACTGTCCTGGCTGGCTATTCTAGTATATCTAAGAAAGGAAAGGTGTATTAGTTACCTGCTGCTGCCTAACAAATTACACCTAAACTTAGCAGCATGAAACCACAAACAGTTATTGATTCAGTGTCGGTGGGTCAGGAATCCTGGAGCAGCTTAGCTGACTATCTCTGATTCAGGGTCTCTCTTAAGGTTGCCGTCAAGGTCTTGGCCAGGGCTGCGTCCATCTCACGGCTGCAGTGGGAGAGGAGCCACTTCTGAGCTCACCTGCATGGCTGGCTATAAGCAGGCCTCCGACCTCATTAGCTGCTGGCCAGAGACATTGGTTCTTTGCCACACAGGACTCTCTAGGGCTGTTTTATCACAAATTTTGGATAATCAGCTATTTACATTACTAGGCCAACAATTATTTTTCAAAACTGAGTTATCAATATACTATGGTAATTTGCTTTTGTTTCCCTATTGTTTCTGATTCCCCTCATTTTTAATGTTGTGAAATTTTCACTATTTTTCTAAATGTGCGACAGATCTCTGTAACAATTGTATTTTTCCAAGTGACCATATATATATATTTTTTAAACTATCAATTCCATTTTCTTTGTCTTTGGAGATGCTCTTTGCACTGTGCCCTGTCGTCGGGTTCCATTGTGCACCGTTGCTCCCACACCTGACTCTCCCCTTCGGGTTTCTCTGGAATGGGATGACCTTTCATTTCCTGGATCCCCAAGTTTTTCTTTAATAGCTCCTCATCTTTTTGAAGAACATTTTCTAATACTTTCCTAAGAAGTACTATATGACCTTCAATGGTATTACCTTCACAATTTGCATGAGCTGGAGATGGAATTCTAGGTTAAAAATACTTTTTGCACAGAAAGAACTTTTTTGACTATGCTTCTACTTTTTTTGTTTGTGTATTCTATTACAGTTGTCCCATTTTTTCCCCTTTTGCCCCACCCCACCCACCCCTCTCGCCCACAGTTAACCCCCTCTCTGTTGTCCACGTCCATGCGTCATTTTAAAGGTAATATTCCACTGGCTTCTAGATTGCAGGGTTGCTGCTGTAAAGCCTGAAGCCATTGTCATTTTAATTGTTTTTTATGACTTTTTTTATTCTCAATGATTATTTTAGGTTGTACTCCTTGTTCCAAATGAGCGTATGTTTCAATGTGCTGGGACTCACTAAACCTTCTTAATCAGAAAATTGGTTCTTCACTCCTGAAAACTATTTCTGTTTCTGTACCTGTGTTGTTGTTTTCTATTTCTCAAATTTTGTCACACATGCTATTTAAATAGTGAACCTTCTGGCTTAGTCTTTAATTATAAACATTTTCTCCCAAATTTTACATTAAGTAAGCATTTATTTTATTTTCCTTGAGATTTCATCAATTTCATCATCCAAATCATATATTGAATTCTTTATTTCTTCTTTTAAAAAATTGTCTAAAGTCCTTTCTTGTCTCATGCTTGTTTTCTTTTGTTTATGGGTGCAATTTGTTCTCTTATCTCTCTGAAGATATTAACCATTTCATTTTAAAGGTTTTCACCTGCTCCCAAAATTTCCCCATTGTCTCTGAGTCCTCAAGATCCCCCTGTTTTCTATTAGTGGGTCTATTTGTTCTGGCCTTTTTCTTCCCAGTTGGAGGATTTCCTCAATACTTGAGAATCCTTTAACCTGGCTATTCATTCATTCTTACTCAAGAATGACTTCTGACGCCTTGAGGAGTGTGGGTGGGGGATGAGGGTCCGGCAGACTTATGTTGGGAGAGTGCACTCATTTCACAAGCTGAGGCTGGGGAGATGACAAACAAGTTAGAGACAGTTTTCATCTGGCTAGTGACATTTGAGATGCAAATAAAGGAAGAGTGAGAAGGTCCCACAGTAGAGTATCTAGACTTTTTCTTAATGTGCCTTTGTCAACCCACAGGTGCTCCTAGATCTTACTGCAGATTCCCTAAGTCTGAAGACATTTCTATGTCCAAAGCTTAAACTCCTAGTGCCCCACGGTTCGGGGTGTGGTGGTACGGGCTTGTGGCTGGAGAAAGAGGGGACCCTAGGCTCTTGACTATAAGATGGAGCAGGGTTCCCCTCACCAGGGTTCCCCTCCGCCAGCTCCTCTGTATTCAACCCCTTTCTTGTGTTTCCAAATCCCCCCCAGAATTCTGGGCTGAGGCATCAGTATTCTCAGAAATTCTTAGAAAGTCCCTAAATGATAAGCTAATCTGTATTTTTATAATGGTTTATTTGAGTGTTTTTGTATAATAATAGGTGACCATAATAATAAACATTAAATCATTTTCCTGTCATAGAGCCAAATTTGCAGAGGTGTTGGGTAAAAATAGTAACAAATACATAGTTTATGATTATCATGAACTCATATTATAACAAAATTATGTATTTTAATAACATGAAAATGACCTCCATCTGGTATTGCTATTTGGTAATAGAAAACATTAAAAGAGGGAAACATGGAATAAAAATAAATGCTAAATAAATGTGAGGATATTGAAAGATAATACTGCAAATATGTAAAATACATATATTTTTTATTTTTCAGGGGAGAGCACGAACGCAGCCCCCCACCACCACGATTATGCAGTCGAATTGCCCACGTGTGGGGACATCGCAGGGGTCAGCACACCCGGAGCGCAGTGGGTAAGCCTCGCCCCGGGAAAACCGCCTTCGGGGTCGTGGCATCTCCCCTGCACGGTAAGTGTGTGTAATTTATGTTAAAGGTGTTTTTCCTAATGAAAGTTTAAAACATACGAGGCATTTCGGGTCTATTCAATTATCTTGATTTTTATTTCATAACAAATATTCCATTTTGTAGGAAAATTCCTTTCATTTTGTGGCAGTTGGTAGCGTAAGTCCAAAAAAATCTGCAATAATGAAATTATTTCACTCATTTGCCCTGAATTTGTTTTTGCCATTGAAACTTCTATTGCTTTGCTGATTCAGATTTTAGATCAGTTACTAATTCTGTTTAGTATTCTGCAACATTCTAATCTTCTTCTCCCTGCATTTCTCTGTGAAAGTGTTTACAAAGCCCAGTAGTCTATGGAGTATTTTCAAACATTGGAAAAGGCCAGCTGACATTATTGGGTAGAATTATAGTAACATAACATCCTGATATCCTAACACAATTAACAACACCACACAGAATTACGTGTGGAAATTGCCAATTTAAGAACTTATTTTGCTTCCAGAACTTGTTATTTCTTGGAACCACTCTCTAAGGATTTGTATAAAGTATACTATGCATATAAATGTATTAATATTTATTTTATTTGCGATAATCATGCACTCTTAGCAGCAGATGGGGCCCAAACACTTAGAACATGGCAACAGAGACGATTAGGTCTTAACTGCCTCCCTCCTCTTTGCTCACGTCCTAGTTCTGGAAATGTCACCCTTACTCTTTGACTCTGCACGTCAGTGATTTTTGCTCTTGCTTCCAACTTGAGATCAGTCTACTTCTTCAAACTACTAATATCTCTATGGTGACTATTCAGCTTTAATTCTGACAGGGAACTTGTTATTCTTTTTCTTGTTTTCCCAAATGATTTTTCTCTGGGTTCAGAAAAACATAAATTTTCTAGAAAATGCTGGGAAACATTTCCCTTGTGGAAACACTATTCTATGCACAGCACTTCATTTTTTCCTGTCTGGAGTACCTCCGAACACTGAAGGCCTCAGAATTCCATGGGGTAGTTTGGCTCATCCATGACCCTCTCTGCAGATAATTAAGTTTAGACTTTCTCTGTTCTTCTAAATTGGTTATTTTCCTTTTGCTTCTCGTCTCCCCACATTTCATGGAATCTCTTACCTTCTATTTCCCCTTTTCTAGTTACTTCTGTTCTTGTGGATTAATATCTTTACACAAATCACAGTGATATTTAGGGCCTTGAAAGGAGATAAATGAGACACATGAATCTATGACTTTTACTCGTGCCCTTCCTTGCCCTTGGTGCCTAACCTGCCACCTGCCTAACCACAGCTGACAAGGGAACACTTTACGTATGGCACAACTGTAGCCTATCCCTAATGAGTCAACTTAAAGGACAAATGATGGATTCCAGACTCAAGCTGTGTCTGTCAGATTCTCTCATCTAAATATTTAAAATTGGTATTAAGTAAAAAATATTAGGCAATGGTAATCACCAAGGTAGAAATAACCGAACCTGTTTTTTTCATTTTTTATTCATTACTCAGTTCATGAGCACCTATCCATTACCTGGTTTTGTGTAAGTGCTGTGTTATGAAATAAGTAACTCCCAGTCTCTGCTATGCAGGAACCCACAGTCTAGTCCAGGGCAGCGATTTTCAACCTTCCTCACTTCATGGCACACACAAACTAATTACTAAAATTCTCCACCACCCCAACAAATTCATAGTTTTGCCAATCTGACAAAAAATAGGTATAATTTTGATTCATTCACACCAGAAAGCTATTGTTGTGTTGGCTGTTGCCATTTTTTAATTTGACCATCTCAGGGAAACGAGGTCAGTTTCCCTGACTAAACAGTCAGGTATTGCATGTTTGAAAAATTCTTGCCACACTGTTTGAAAATTGCTAGTCTAGGGGACAGAAAAGTCAACAAATAATTAGCCTAACACACTTAACAAAGATATGTCAGCTAGCTGTTTGTAATGCAGAGAAAGACGTGCTTATCTGCCAGAGAGAATCAAGAAAGGCTTCACAAAAGGCCAGAACATTGCGCTGCAACAGGTGAGATGGAGGTGGGCAATGGAGAAACAGACAGACAAATCCAGACAGAGAAAAGAGCACATGCAAAAGATCATGTTCAGGATGAGCAAGAAGTACCACAAGATCTGAGAATAAGGTGTTTGGGTGGCTGGTGGCATGTTTGAAAGTTACGAGTGCAGGCTGGCAAAGATCATAGAGAAGTTTCACATTTTTCCTGAGGCTATAGGAACTTTTTGGCTTGAGGGTGATGTGATTATATTTACATTTTTATGCTTAGTGGCACTGGGATTTTACTGCGTAGCTGAGAGAGGGGGCAGTTTGAACATTGTATAAAAGCTCTCACATTAATTTGGTGGAGAGGGCGCTAGCTCAGGAGTTACAGGATTTTTTTTTCTTTCACATTTTCATTTAGTGGAGATATCAGAAAAGTAAGTGGAGGAGTCACATTCTCCAGGAAGCCTCCCTTGTCTACCCCATGAGTCTGTGTCCCTCTCTTTTGCTTCATAGCATCCTTAGTTATAATCTCTACACTTTACCAGACTCCCTCAATTAGCTTTCAGGCACATTGAAAGCACTGATAATCTAAGTCTAAGTATTCATAGCTGTATACAGGATGGGACAAAAGCAGGTATACAGTTGTTCATATGGCAAACAAAACAATAATTAACAAATAATAATATAAGAATAAACTCTGTTTCATGTACTCACAACCATAAACCTACTGTATTTATTACGTGGGCCAAAAAGTACGTATGGTTTTTTCCATAAGGTAAAAGACATATTTTTCATTTTCACCAATAACTTGATTGATTCAGATATTTTTGAGTAGGTGGGCTATCTCCCACTATTGGTTTCTAGTGGGTAGAGGCCAGGGGTGCTGCTAAACATCTTCCAACGCATAAGACAGCCCCACAGCAAAAAGTTATTTGACCAAAATGTCAATAGCACCAAGAAATTTCACAAACCACTTTTGGCACATTTGATCAGTCACAGAGCATTCTCCATACACTGTACAAATCTTTTGCGTGTGTGTTTTAGTTGCGTTTTTACCTTTCTTGAAATAATAAAGCATAATATGTCAAAAATGTAGCATATCTTCTTTCATCTTCAATATTAAAACGCCTACACAAAAATTCTCCAATTTTGATATTTTTTAATGCATGCTGCTGTAATAGCTGTTGCAATACAATCTAACAAAATTGTTTCAAATGAAGTTAAAGACAACTAAGCACTAGTAGCACCATCATACAGAAAAAACTAATGAACTTTTTGGTCAACCTGATAGTACTTAGCAAGACTCTAAGGGCACCCAGTAAGTATTTACTGAGTGAATGGATAAAGGAAAGATAATTGTCTGAGAGTCCTCCAGCAGGTCCTGTACTCTCTCAGCTGCTAGGAAATGGGAAATAGACTTAGTGACAGCCACAGCATAAAGACCAAGGCATCTCAAGCAAGAACTGTGGCCAGACCAGCAGCAGCGACGTCAGCTGGGAACCACTTAGAAATGCAAATCCATGGAACCCACCCCAGACCTATTGAATCAAAAATATGGGAGCAGGGCTCCAAAATTTTGGTGTTTTAACGAGCTCTCCAGGTTATTCTGATGAAAGCTACACTGTAAGAACCAATTGCTGATATAAACCATTTGAAAAGGAACTTAAGCCTTTGCTAAGAGATCGTGTGCCCTAATTTCTTTTACTGTGCTTGCAATCATGTTGTGGTATTCTGTAGCCCCAAATCTCTATGCAAGTTTCTATAGAACAAGAATGATATGAAATAAAGACTTCATTGTAGTTGTTCTGAGTAGAAAACTCAATAATCAATATTCATCTGGTTATAAAAGATCTACATGTGCATTAACTTCATTTCATTAACAAGTACTCCTTCCATGGGACCAAGTCAATGAGTCTCTTGGGAAATAAAATTAACCAACACTCCTCCTTAAAGGTACAGTTCAGACTTTCCTTCAGATGTGTCGAATCAGACCAGTTTGTCACACTGGCATTCTGTGCACGAACTTCTTTTGATCAATTCTCTAATAAATGAAAATGTGGCAATTGTATTGGAATCAGTAATATTTTATCAAAATTAAAACTTACAGATTTTATTTTTACTTCTTTTGATAACTGCCCGAATTCCCACTCAAGTGCAGTAGTCAGCTCTCTGTCAGCCAGTCCTAATCTCAACCTGCATTAAAGCCTTGAATGAAAATATTCCCAAGATGGTCACATTTTTTTTGAGTAAGCCCAATACAAACGATAATGCGGGAAACACGTTATTCTCATGTAAGCCAAGAATGAGAGGGAAAGTCATTCTGAGAGGGCTTAGACACTCAGAAAATTACTTTGTTCATTTTTTACATTCTGAGCATTGTAATCATTTCTTGTTCCGCTGTATCCTACCACACAGTGAATATACACTACACAGCTCCTGCATACTGATTTTCACTTCATGAATCTATAAACCCTATAATTCTTGCCCAAAACCTAGCAGTTTAACCTGTCTTTGGAGAAATGATTTAATAACAGAGACATGTAATGAGAACTCTTATTGCTAAAATGTCACTGTATTTACAAAATATACTACAGGGCACTTCTAATGTACTACAAAGTGCTGTCATAAATCATTTAGCCCAGGCTCCACTTTAAAAAAATACATTAATGAAATAGTTCAGTATCCTTGACTTTAAAACATCTATTTTTTTCTAATGTGAAATATTTTGAGTGCTCTCAATGACCATTACTTCATGTCTTTTTTATGTTCGATACTCTCTTTTTAATAGCTTTTACCAAGCATTAATTTGGACATAGCCTACTGTACACTTTTACTGTATTTATGGATAATAACAGATATGTAGGGAGTTAAGGAGATAAAGATAGGAAGCAACAATTCATTAAATAAGTACTAATTACATTAATAATAATAACACTTCCATTGATCATTATCTATTGTACTGTGTATACCTCATCTCACATGCTCGGATAGATGCTAAATAGATATTTAACACTC